TTGCAGCGGTATCGCGGCAACGTGCAATTTCACGGAAGACTGCAACCGCACGCCGGGATTTTGTATATTTAATCGACAATGCGCCTCGGAAACGTTGGCGCGGAAGAAAGAGAGATACCGAGCGGCTCTGTAGAAGGGCAGCGGCTAGCGATACTTGAATTATTGGAGAGACTCACAATAGACACGTCTGTGAAGTAACGCGATAAATATTTTCAACAACATTGTTAAGAGTTATCCCATTTCGCGCGTTATATTTCGAGCAAGAAATATGCGAGAAGTTGCCGCTAGCAGACGCGTAATTTGATTTATTACCCGACTTGTTTGGAAGTGCATTTACTTGCGAGCAGCAGCGCCAAGGAGATTGCTACTGTTGTGTGCAACATTAACTAATGGAGTATTCTGCGGATGTATCGTATTTCTCGAGATTATTCATCGCTGTTTACAGTGGTGGAAATATGAAGACGCGGATAATTCACTGGGGGACAAGACAGAAAGAGAGAGAGAGAGCGAGCGAGACGCGACAGGGATTAAGGGTGTTAGATTTTTCAAATTTCCTCGGCGAATGAAACTACTTTTGGGGGGAATGAAACATGGGGAAATTCCGCAGAGTCGCTTGGACAAAAGCCACGGGATGGAATAGTCGCGACGACAGTCGGCGATTTTAACAAGTACCGTGAAAAGGCAGGTCTAATCAATAGACTGTTTGCCGGCATGATGGCACGATACGCGAGCGGACGTATAACTTCGTTGCCTTTTTCCCTTTGTCCGGATACGGCGGCAGAAATTGCGTTCGGCGAACGCGCGGTAAATCAAAGTTTATTCGTTGCATAAATCGCAAATACACGCGGCGAAGTACCGTCATCAAGCTCTGACAATACTGTACAAACTGCGCGCGCGCGCGTATATTGGATTCGGCGGGAAATTGTGTACATATTCGTGATTATGCGTGGGAAACTATATACCGAGAGAATGCATAATCGACTGACATCATATTTGTTTGCGTTTCTAATAAAACCAGAAGCGAGATATACACGTTCGTTATTTCCCTCCCGGCCGTCCGTTACGGCAGCAGCGATCCGCTGATCCTCGAATTGTATCTCGAATATGTCCGAGAGAAAATATTCGCGGATATCCGTGCTCTTGAGTATCGTCTTGGATATAGTTGGTCCGTGAAACTATTTTCTTCGGAATTCTTTCAAATTTTAATTGATGGGAATTTTATTTACGCGTATGTAATTAGAAAACGATTGACCACTCGGAAACTGAGATATTCGCAGCTACAGATTCTTTTACGCATTCCTTGAGGTTAATGTCCTATTTTTAACTTTTAACCGACGTATAAATAAAACATTAATAAGAAAAATAAAAAATAAATAATATCATCGTGTTTGTAAAATTGCATATGTTTCGCGCTCAAAATTGACATTTATTACTTAGTTAATAATTAATTAGTTAATAGTTAAATAAAGTTATGGCAAAGTATTTTTTTTTTCAATAAATAATAACTTATGAAAGGATAAGGCCTTAATATCGCCATTTAAAATCTTCAACGCCAATTATACTGAAAAGAATACCGTACTAATATTGATCGAATTAAAATGGTTACTCCAATATTTGTTAACAAATATTTACTAAAAGCTATAATATATATATTGACTACTTACAATATATATTTTCTTCCAATAGATATTTACTTACATGTGTTAAAACAATTATGACAAGTATTAATTCACAATATTGAAATAATCAGAATTTATTTTTAGCAAATATTCTCCGGACCGAATATAAAGTTAAAGCCGCTAGGTTATTTTAGTGGAAAAGAAATACTACATAATTCTAAGAAATATGCTCTTAGATTTAGAACCATTTTACACTTACATTTAATAATTTATTTACAAATAAAAATATTACTGTGTTGAAGTAAATATTTATTATAAACTATTAAAATGTACTTAAATTGATGAAAATATTATTTAATTTTAGAAACGAAACAGGTAATTGCGTTAATTTGAGTCTAACATTTCTTTTGCTGTATACCTTAACACTGAATGTTACAACATGCAATTTTATCGAACGAAATATAACGAAATGTGATTTTATAGAAAATTATTTTTGCCCTCTTGTACTTACTGTTTGCGAGCTTTTAATGCACATGAGCCCATGAGCTTTACCGATAACAACGCTGAAATGGTGAAAGAAAATTTACCCATGTCTCCCCATTCACAGTTCTCTGCCAGACGGCCCGATTTACCCGTTATTTTAAGATACGTCTCTCCGTTATTTATCAGATTAAAGCCGTTCGTATTAATAGATCTTCGTTGCCATCAGCCTATTTACTGCTCACGAACGCCGCGCGAGACGCGCGCAATTACCTACTTACGGCTCATTAAACCATTTCCCAATCCTCAATCTTGCGCACACGACGGCGCACGAAGACGTATGAGGTACGAGTTGTCGAACTGATCAAAGCACAGCGATAACGCGAGAACCCAGTCGAACGGAAGTACGCAAATATCTCGGCGCAATAACGCCTTGGATCATTGGGTTCTGTAAATTTGACGGATGAGCTGTTGAAAAACTGCGAATTAATTCAACGAGACTGATCAAATTCAGTCTCTTCTTCGCGACGCACGTCGCGCAGAAAATTCGCACGGCTTCTCGTTTCTTTTTTCCGTTTTTTATGACGACATTTAAAACGTTAAAAAAAAAGAAACAGTTACGTTGCGTCGACCGGTTAGTTGAGACCGTGATTCACGGGCGATCGTATGAATAAATATGAGCCACGAATCTTGTTTCTTTATCTTTCTTATTTTCGTGCGCCTCGTGCGATTTAATATACGACCGTCGTGCGGCGCCAGGGGAGAAGATATGTTCGCCGCTTGTAAAAATTTCGGCACGCCACACCGTGAATTGTTAACGATTTCGTCGCGCGCGACGCCCACTCGGACGTCTTAATGAAGGCAATTCAATTAGTATGCACGACAATAGGAGATCACGAGCGGGAAGAACGAATCTCTTCCGGCCTAGCGCATCCCCCGACTTGCATTCTCAGCATTCCGCTGCAAAATATGCGCATGCTTTAGGGCCGATGAAATGTGTGAATTTAATTTCTCGGAGCCGTGGGCGCATAAATATGCATCGCGGCGCTCCTTCTCCGCTGATTTATGCACGATTACGCATTTACCGGAGCGGATTCCGCTGACCGTCCTCGGTCAGCGATTTCGAAATTGTCCGTGAGAGAAGCGGACGTAAAAGGAACCGGAGGGACTTTAATCGATAGCCGGGCCCGGCAAGCCCTTCCGATAATCCGATCCGTCGGATCGATCGACCACGCTCCGCTAAATTCCGGGCCGTAGCTACTGTATATACTCCGTATGACGAGAATAAATAGAGTCTCTCTTCCGGTATAGGAGAAACCGGCGGAAATCCGGAGGGGAAGAAATCTTTTACATTATATGAATTTTAATTCGCCTTTAAACGATACTTCGTTACCCTCAGATATAACATTTTAACGTCAATCGAATTTTCACGATTTCAGCCGTTTTTATGCTATCTCGAAGTTTTATCTCTCGTTCCTGGCGGTTTTGTCAAGAAAAAAAAAAAGAAAAATCGGCTGACGATGTGCGAGCGATAATATTGATTTTTCCTTTTTCGATTACATATTTGCATCTGCATCTACGTGTGTGTGTTCGATGATCGACGGGGATCTGATTTCTGCGCGAAATGTTTCGTGTAAAGTCTACGTTTCACGAAGTGCCCTTTCTTTCGGAGCACGTACAACGACCATGACGGTTAATCAAGCAACCCGACACATCGGGTGTTAAATTAATCCCAGCACGCTACGTGCACACAGTCCGGGAGAGAATGTGTACGGCCGCGACGGCTGATTGATACAAATTGGCTTCAATTTCCTTCAATTTGCGCGAGGGATCTCAAAATTTTACGACGTCGGGCGGCATCTGTTGATTGTCGTTGCTCGCCGCCGCCGCCGTCGACGGCGGTACGGCAGTTCTCTTATACACGGATCGATAACTGACTGTCGTCGGTAAAGCCGGAGATATCATTTCGAAATAACTTGAATAGGTGGCGTACCTGCCTGTTCTTTAAATATTATTTATATTCGCCGCGCGAGACGCGCTAGCGCGTCTCTCGATTTCCGTCGATTCTCCTTTTTCGTCGTCCGCGCTGATCCGTCCGATATTATGCGTTTTTAAGGAGCGAGCAGAGGCTGCTCGATAGATCGGTGAGTTGCGTCGATTGACAACATTGAATCTGGTTATGAAAATGAGCGTCCATTTCGAGTTCGTGATGCAATTCAAATTTAACTAGATGCTGCAAATTCGTACTATCGTCATTGATAATTAAACGTATTTTAAATAATCTCGCACTTCGCGTGGTGACTTTCATTATGCACAGAGAAAAAGATTTCTTTGGATTTGGTACATGTTTGTTTCACCTGAGTTTGTTTAATATAAATAACACAATTTAATATCAAATATCATTTTGTTTGAATGAAAAATGTTGTTTCACTAAAGCAAACTATGTTATTAAAAATAAAAGAGAACTGTATTATTTAGAGGAAATATAGATAACATTTCGTTTCCGATAAAAAAAATGTATTTCGTTATACATTAAATATCGTTCCAATGAAATAAAAAGGAATTCTTGAATATTTTTCTATTATATATTACTTCTTCGAAATCATTTATTGCTTATTACAACCACTATAATGCTTAAATGAAAATATAAAAGAAATATGTTTGTAAGACATTTTTGTCAAATTTATTGTTTGAGAAACCAAACAATCTCGTTTGTTGAATCAAATATTTGTTTGTTTGCTTTATTCCAAAGACATATTCCAAAAGACATATTTGTTTCGAATAAAGAAATTTCATTAAATCCAAAGAAATCTCTGTGTGGGTAATCAATACGATTTGTGTCGAAATACTACACGCGCTACGTAACGTGACGCTTCGTAAGCATTCAAATTGTATGCTCACCAATTCGCGTTGATGCCTAACGACGTCTAGTCCTTACTCAGGTCCCCCGATGAGAGACCCAACGTTGTATCTCGACCGCGTCGCTTCGCACACGTCCAGCCTCCTCAGCATCCAGCTGTCGTCCTCCGTTGGTCGCTCCTCACTCACTCTTCATTTCACTTCGCTGCACTGCACTCGCGATCGTGATCGGTTTGACGGCGCTTAACGATTTAAGCGACAAATTCTAGCTATTCGAGAATAGTCATATTTTCGAAATGAAGCAGATGTTAGAAAATGGGTCGACGGTCGCGTCAGAAGATAAGACATTCTTTCTCCGCGGCATCCGTGTACTGCTTGAAAGATGGCAAAAAGTGGTAGATGAAAAAAGGAACATTTTTTTATCCAAAGATTATATATTTTTTTTTGCATTAATAAAAGAATGTTGACAAAAAACGGCGGGCACTTACAAAGGGAGAGTATGATGTCATCACAGATTTTGCTCAGATTAGGATATATTGTAGTACCAAGCTCTCACTATTTGATAGACAAATGAAACAACACACCTCTCAAGTATTCACGACAAATTTACATGCAAAGTTTTTCGTGCACCGTAAGCTTACGAAAGCATGTTTACCAGATAGCGAGTGTAGCGCAGCATATAAGGCGGCACGCTGCACATTGCGCGTTCGAGCTTGACGCTATCCAAATTTTTTTCTATTTAACATTAATTTTTACGAAATGTTAATTTTAATTAATGATTAAGTATAATTAATCTAAATATGCTAAAAAATTATGATTTAATGATTAATATATGTAATATTATATAATACAGTATACAGTACTGTAGTTCCACACATATTGTATATTTAGTATACGGAACTATAAATCGTGTTTGGTTGCGGTAATTAAATATTTAGTCGGCAAATATTTATCAGATTCTAGTATTTATGACCAAATCCTTTTTTCAACAGAGATAAAGGACTTAATAAAGGAGTTAATAGTTTAACGAGAAAATTACGTATGGACACGAGTGTGGTAACTTTTTATGATTGTTGTAATCTCAACAATTTTTACTTGGACAACTATGTTCTAATTTTCGATCACGAAAGGTTAAATGCAAAAGTACGAGAAGTTTTTCATATTTTTATTCTAATTAATTTTAATAATATCAATGTTTTTGATAACCAGTTGGTAGTTTATCGAATGCTAAGTAAATCAGCAATATTTAACGTCATTTTTACATTAAATGCGGATCCAAAATCATTAACTTGTCGATATTTTTATAATTTGACGATCGCTGTCTAATGTATACTTATGAAGTTTGTGTTTTTTCAGCTGCCGGATCTGAACAATTTGGATGAAAAGGTGAGTCTACAAAAACACGAAATTACATACTAGTAACGCGACTTCATACGTGAATATGCACACGACAGAGGAAAATGCAGTCGATTATACTTTTTTCATAGAAAAGAGTGTCACTTCTGTGTAACTACTGATGCGAATAATTCTTGCATACAATAATTCCTGTCGATACATATGGTCGACAAAAAATTGTTATTTATGTTATTAATAGTTTACAGCTGAGTATATACTAGAGTATATACCTACGTTCCGTAGGTACACAGACTGCTTGCTACTAATACTAATTTTGCATGTGAATTATGTATTTTCGTAACTATTATCGCGAAGCGGTGAGCCAACGCAATATGTACAATGAGAACATAAAAAGTTTTAACGACTCCGACCGCCTGCCGTATGTATTTATGTCCATTGTCACTAAAACAGTGTTTGAAACTAATTATAGTCGACGCGTTAGACAGCTCGATTCATTTTTAGCCTCCTTTGTATTATTACGCATATTTTTCCGCGAATTTATTGTTCGTGGATCTTTTGGCCTTTTTCAACTATGGAGAAGTGTATATTTTTATCGGTTTTTATATAAATCGAGATTCGCGAAAGAATGCGGCGCGGGAGTCACGTTCGCAATTGCGAATATTCGAAGAATGTTCGTCATTTCGTATCGGCGATAAAGGCGCCTGTTCCGAGAAAATTTACAACGCGTCTGTGCGAAACGGCACGTAACACAGCAGCTGCTCTAATTGCAAATGCCCCGTTTCTGATTTACTAAGCGTTCATTACGCGTACGAGTTGTTGGGTGAGATAGTGTAGAGTTAAAGTTTTTTTTAATAGTTTTATCAATATGTTTATTTCAACAGTAGAATAACGGTTCATGAATTTGTACTTAATTATGCTTTCACCTGAAAATGAGAAATAATTTACAGCTATGAATGCGGGGCTTGGAGACAGTTTTTCAGGATTGTACTTTTTCGGGATGTGTTGTCCCTCTTCTCAAATTCCGGGGTTTTTGCCTCTCGGGATTACGCATCGTCCATCGCCACACTTGTAAGATTCGACGGGTGCGTAGGTATGTACCGGTGCGCCGCATTCAATTGATACCAAGTAACTACACGAACTCTCGTTGAAATCGAGCGAATGTGAGGAAGCGAGCTCGTCGAAGTCTGAATTAATCAATCGTGTCAATTAAGATTCTCGTTACCCTTTATTCGTTTTCTCAGTTCCATTAAAACCGTGGCAACTGCGTGCAATCGTGGTGTTACGTAATTCCACTCGGCGAACAATTCCCGGCAATTTTCACCGCGACGACTCATTATCCAATTTCAGCGGTCGTGGAACCTCCCGCGTCGAAAATCGCGCGGCACGTCCGTCGTACGATACGGCCGAATTTTCACCGATTTTGACACGAGCCTGCCTTCGGCAGAAGTGCAGGGGGGGGGGGGCGGCCTGTTCTCGCGTCCGATCGGGCTGAATACGAGAAAATCACATGTGCGTGATTCCGCGTTACGACCTTCGCGCGAACATTGCTACCGCCGTCCGCGCGGACAGTATAATCGACTGTTCTCTTTTGACATGCAAATGAAGCCGCGCAGTATTCAAATTGTAGCCATATTCCGGCGTGGTTATGCCGACTTTTATACCGTGCAGCGCGCACGGTTGCGTTAACGCGACGATAACGCGCTTGCTTTTATTGGGTTGCATTTTACAACGCGTATCGCGGTTGCGCGTCGGCGACCGGGATCCGCGTGGCGTGAAAACGGGAAATAAACTGGGCGACTTATTATGCGCGTGTTTCTTGAATTCACTCGAAAGGCGGCTGAAGTGATCCGTAAATAAAACCCGTGAATTTTATCTCGCGTGGCGCAATTCACGAACGCGCGACGAACGCGGCTTAGAAGCGGGACGGTAAGCTGCGAACGGTTCGTCTATGCGTACGTCGGTAGTCTCTCTCTCTCTCTCTCTCTCTCTCACGGTTCCATGAAATCATTTTACAACGCTGTTACCTGGCACGGTTCGCCGCTTTCGACAATTGCGCAACGGGCCATACGTCGGCGCGATTATTTTTCATTACTACGAATCTGCCCGCACTCTGCCGTTTCCGACATTATTGAAAGTTGCCTTGCGATATCGCGTTGACCCTATCGCACTCGACCGCACGAGGCGTATAATCAGCACGAGCGCGCGTAAACAATAATCCACGCTTGGAACGGGGGAGCTGTCATTTTACACGTAACGCAAACGAACATTAACGATTAGAACGGTGTCTCTCGCTGTCGACTTACCGTCCGTCTACTTTAACCGGCGTATCAGATGATAATTTAGATATTCCGCAGAGGCGGAGGGGTACAACGGGGAGTAGAAACACGTACACACGGGAGGGCGTATAATTAATACGCGCGATGGCCGCACACACGCGGACGCGCGCGCGACTAAATCGAATGTCATTAGCGCTTAGTCAGTGCCGGGGCGAACATTCCACCGCGTGTCCGCGGCATTGCGAGCGTGACTGTCGCATTTGCAGGTGCAAAGTGTCGTCGACCAATGAGGTCGTCGATCGTTCACCGTCCGATCGAGCATTTTCACGCGCCTCTAACCTCGGGTGGTGCAACGCTCTCCTTGAAATCGAGGCTAATGCATCTTCGCCAATCGTACGAGAGGGGGAAAAAACCGCGTATAAACCAGTCGAGATCGTGTACTTCGCTACCGTTGCACCGGGTCGGCTGCGTCGTCTGCGTCGTGCACGAAGACGGATTTCCAAGTCCCCTCCGCGGACGATCTTGCGATTCGGGACTCGAGTTCGAGTTCTGTTCGTTTAAAGAATCTGCAAATTGTTACACGCCGCGGACGAAGTTGCGGGTAGAACGCGGGACTCCGTTGCGAGTTACGGATCGTCCGAAATGAGCTCCGGAAGCGAATGTCTTCCCGTTCTCTTCTCTTCGTTTATATTTGCAATAAGAAATCACCGTATTCGTCGCCGTAAAACATTTCGCGAAGTACGACGCTTTAAATAAGATATCATTCGGAGACCACACAGGTGTGTCCCTTGCGATTAGTCGACAGACTTTCTCATATGTAGTAGAGATCTCGATTAGAACACCGAAAGTTGTCCCAGAATAGGTTATCCCACTGTGATACCAATTTGGAATCCCATTCCGCCTTTCCGCGATGTTGGTCGATCGCGCGGCTCGCCTGCGACTATCATCGCCAAAACTGAGGGACGGTTTGACCCATGGAGGAAGGAAATCACCTTCTATGCTATGATAAAATACCGAACGAATGGCTCTCGCTCATTGCGCGACACTCGTGTATTCCGTCATGCCTTAACTCGCGCGTAAATAATAACAAAGTGCGCGTACTTTAACAGCGGGATACTTGAGCAAGCGTTGCGCGCGAGACGCGGTTCACTTTCATGCGTAAAACAAAGTCTTGATGGCAGTTCAGCCGCGACCTCGCGTGTGCTTTGCATAAACCGCAGTCTCCTAATGTACTTCTAATGTTCTCGTGCAAATGGTTATTTCTAACGGTGCGCGGAACAAGTCAACACTTTTAGTCCGATAATAGTGATGCCAAGGATACAAAATAAAAACAAATACAAAATAATAGTGGTACCAATACCGTTGGTGGATCATCGAGCGCCCGTCGTCGTCGCGATACTTGCCGCGAAATTCCATTATCCGTCTAAATCATCTCCCTGCCGCTAATAATTAACTCTGTTCGCACCAACGACATCGCCTCTTTATGCGCCGAAAAGTCAGGTGATCCCTCACGATCCGAGATAAACAATCTCGGGCGGGTATAATTTCCTGCACGTCGTTGCGCAACGATTTGTTTTCGACCGCGTGCGATTTGTTTTGAACATCCCGGCACGGAATCGACACCGAATCGACTTTATACCTGCTCCCAGGAGCCCCGTTTCGTCAACGGTGCGCGTCTTAAACCTCCTCAGTCCGCTGTCCGACGCGGGAATAACTTGGCTCGCCGTTGCGCAACGATTTGTTTTCGACTACGAGCTCAGGACGGCGGAATCGCCGCGAGCCAAGGGAGAAATCGGCTACGAACTTCTGAGGCTCGCTATCGGCTGCCGAGGTGGCACCATGCCGGCTCGGAAACTGGATTTCTCTGACCTACCTGCACGGAAAAAAAAGTGCTAGTATCAAATAAACATTATTACCTGTTTGTCAGCCTCTCAAAGTAATATTAGTGTATGCAACTTGAATATATTTAATAGCTTGTAGCAAATGCTTCCTTGAACGCGGTGATATCGTAATTTGCCAATAAATTACTGAATGTAAGCGTAAAATGGTTGTAAATTCAAGAGAGTATTCATTAGAATTGTGTAATACTTTTTTTTTCCATCGACGAAACGTAGTGGTTTTAATTTTACTGGTTTTAAATTCAGATTTCTTTTGTTTGGTCAATATTTTCTAAATATAAACTCTGATACTCTCAATATTATGAATTCAATACTTGTCTTCGTCGTTTTAACACGGATAAGCGAATGCGAAGGGAATGCCATATTATATTGTTATACTATTAAAATTACGGCATGATAAAGAAGTATTTTTTAAAACAAGTTTATCTTAAACACGCGCCGTTTCAATGGCATCACAAAGCATACATTAAACGCTTGCGTACTATGTTTCTGTCTGCCTGGGTACCTACCTGTTTTACCTACTTACGAGCGGATCTAACGTCGATCAACGGAAAAAACTCGACTCGTCGTTGCGCAACGATTTGTTTTCCGTGCGTCGCGAGCTCGGGGTGAAATTGCCGTGTGACAGAGAGAGAGAGGAGACCGGTTCGCCACTATATGTAGCGCGCTTGGCCGTAGGTATCTTCTAGAGGTTAAGAAAATATCTGTGTCACCCGCGGCGATCGGTTGCTGAGCGCTTGCCAGATACTCGTCGTTGTAAACAGGATGGAATTCGCATGCATATTCAAGCGACGCGCGAGAGCATTGAGGCCGGGCTTAATTCGCCCGGGGATTTCAGGTCGCGAGAGTAAAAGCGCTCTTGCGCGCGCTTTTCGGTGAAAGTACGGACGAACGGACGGGACGGCCGGACGGATGGACGTGCGGCTACGGAGGATCGATCAATTGGGTTAATGACTCGCCGAGTACACTCGCGATTCGCGTTCGGCTCGAGGCTTCGGAATCAATCGGGGTAATTGCGACAGTGGAGTAAATAGCGCGCCGAAAGTAACATCCGATGGTAAAATTAACGCTCGTCACTTTTTAACGGCTTTATGATGACGCGCGAATGACGGTAATGAAGGCGGGCTCGTTGGTTTTTCCGTAACACTTATACCATCGACGATGGCGTAATCGATGTTCGGCAGCTTTTGACGACTCCGTAACGCCGAGCGAAAGAGGTCAGCTTTACGTTATAATCATATAATCCAATCACTTTCGACGCGTTATCGATCGTCGTCCTTTCAACGTTTTCGTCGTAATCAAATTGATTGCCGTCTAAAAAGAAAAGTGGAGGGAGAGGCGACACTAATATTCGCGCTCGTATGGCCTGTGACATCAAACTCACGAATGATCATCGGAGATAGTTGAGCCGCAAATATTGGTACGAAAAAACGATGGGTAAATGTGTCGATTTTGGTGTCCGGAGTGGCGAGTGAAAACGGCGTGTTTTTTTTTTTTTGTAATTTTTGAGCTGCTGAATCTGATTTTAACTTTTAAAAAATGGTGATTTGTCGGGAAAGTATTAAAATTAGCATATGAAATTATTAAATATATAAGAAGCTATAATGAAACTAATATGTTAATGAAAATGTAAATGTAATATGTAATAAAATAAATAATATTAAGTTATGCCCGTTATGCCAGTTAAAGGTCAGAAACAGACTTAGTAAAAACTACAAAAAACTGATTGTTTTTACCTGCCGCTGCGGAGGCCAAAATCGGCCCATTTTAGCAATCGTTCTTTTATTAAGTTATAACAATTATAAAATAATATGAACTACGCATCAATCTTCACGACTCATCCCCGAGAGATCTGTGGTTATCATATATTTATTTATATTGAAGAAGATGGCAATATTCGACATTTCGCTATTTCACTTGATTTCTTTTGTATCTCCATTTCCTTCTTTCACCTCCACACGGACGGGCAGGAACGCACACAGTTACCGGTCGTAACCGATGTTTGAAATAATTTACATAATATGCGCGTCATTAGACACAGCGATACGTTTTACGCATAGTTCACGGAGTCACGTTTCATGCTAACGCGGACCGTCCAGCCGACTTCCGCACGTATCGGAACTCGATCGAACGATAGCCGCCATCGCGCATCTGTCGTCAGCGACGTCTGCTTTGAAATTCCCAAGCTCGCTTTCGCACATTATGTGCAAATTCGTACGTACGTACGCACGCACGCACGCACGCACGCACGCACACCAACACATGTCCGCGGCCGCGCTCTTATCGGCCGTTTACAACGCCATCATTTACAATTTGCGGTCGTGTTCGTGGAGCGAAGTAACGTATACGAATTCCTCGCACGCGTGCACGCACGACGTCTGTCTACAGCATCGTCCATGAAACGCCCCCGACTTGTAACTTTTGGTTACTACATTGAAAGTGCATTTACTTACTTATGGAAAATTAATCACTGCGCCGAGCAACTCGATATTCGCGAGATCGGAGCGAGAAACGCGATCAGACCGTTTTAACAACGCTAATTTGGTTTATATTGGAACAACAGCGCTAAAACTGACTGATTTTCCCTGATTTTTCTTTTTTATTTGTTTAAGATAGTCGGATGAAAAAATCAGGGGATTCTTTTCTATATAATGAAAAATATGTAAGATTAAACATAACACGTGAGGATATATAATAAATGTACAAATAATGTAATACGCGCTTTTATTGCATTTCTTGACAACTTCCTAGTAAGTATATGTCGGTTTTGGGATCTACTTTCTCTCGAAGCGTCATTTCTCCAATTTTTTCAGCGGACAGTATGTAATATTTTTTAGAAAATTATAATATATTTTCGCAGAGAAATGTTGCCGCTTTCTATTCACGTATATAAATTTTAATTCCACACCTTCAACAGAGCTTTAGAGCCGAAGAACAAATTGGTATGTGGGTCTCGATGCCTTTCCTCCACTCGAACTCCGATTGATTTCTACTCGGTATCTCTCGTGTCTTACACTTCCTCCGTGTCCCTTAGGAACCATGTTGCGAATGGACGAAGATAAACGACGTTTCAACGCGGTCCCTTTGATTCTTACGCAATTCGTAACGTCCATTTATAAACTCGTCGACGCTTGGAGCGTCATATCCTCGGTGTCCTTCAGCCTATATAAATGCGGTCGACGGGGTTTTTATGCGAAGTTTAATATTACAGTAACGCGATATATCGCGATGGCATGTCAGGGATCCTCGAGTCGCGTTACCGTGGATGAATATCGTCCCTGAACGACGCTGTACACACGTCAATTCCGTAATAACTGGCATACGTGTGCGGCCGTACATACGTATATGGCCGGGCTCGGTAAACAACAGTGGTTGCCAAATCGCGGCTATTAATAAATGGAAAATCATTTGCGTAATGAAACGCATTCGGTGGTCCGTTCGACTTACCGGGCGGATGTCTCGAAGAGCGGACGCGAATCCCGCAGACGTGCCGTTCGCGCTCGCTTCGTCCGATTCCGCCGGAAGTTATTCGCGCGACGAAGTCGCGCATCGGGAGAAGCGCGTCTTTCATTGTCCCACGATACGCGTCGAAACTCGGACAAGCTTAGAGAAACGTTTACCTGGAGCGGTAGATATGATCACGTCTAAATCCATTAACGAGCGTATTAAAGACTCGATAATAATATCACAGTTCTCTTCCCGCAGGTTTTCTCTCTCTCTCTTCCTTTCGCCCCACGACTTTTCGGATATTATTCCGCGTCTCTCCGCTTCTCTTCACGGATTTCCGATGCGCGAGACTTCTAGCCGACGAAATTCAGCGTTGAAGCGTAGAAGCGCGCCGTTAATTTCTCGCGATACACGCTGAAACGTGAGTGCCTTAAACGAACGTTCATTTGAAACGACAGGCAAAATAGACGCGATTACGCTCAGATTCACTAATTGGTACTTTAAGGACTCGACAATGCGTTACGGTTCCGTTACGTCACAGTCGCTCGCGCGAATCTTCCTCAAATCTCAACCTCCGTCTCTCTCTCTCTCTCTTTCTCTTCGATTATGTACGAGTTTGTGCCAGCGTGTAAGTCACGCGAGTTAACGCGATAATTTAATAGAAGAGACTTTCCGAGCCGGTTGTCGACCTTTCGAACACGCAGCGAGCTACGATGGAAGGGTGTATACCGTCGCTGTGCACGCGCTGACGTGCATCGCGCGTCATTGTGCATACCTGAAACGACGATCTGTCGTGACGTGCATCGCGCGTCATTACAGCTGCGAAAAAATCCATGCGTGCCGATGCAATTACGTTCATTCACGATACCGAAGCGCTGTCGCAACCGATACTCGGGACGCACTGAAACGAGAAATCGCTCCTACAAGCTGGAAAAAAGATCGCTCTCCCATTGGTCACCGTGCGTATTTTCCTCGAGAATTAGTAGAACCTCTCGCAGAAATCCTCTAGTCGGTGGTATTTCTGCGCGCGCGAATTGCGGTCTATTTTCAGTGGTAACGGATAATAAGCACTTTGATCTCGCTAATTGCTACACACGCACACAGCCGCGCGAAATTCCCGACTTCGCTTTGCGATCAGGACTTTTCTTTTTTTTTCTCCCCTTTTATGTAGGTCGTGTAAAGGGGAGGGGGAGGACGCCCGATGCCCGCGCAGTCAAAAGCGGCGGATTAAATAAAGCCGCGGATCGGGCCCGGGATAAACGTCATTAGGCCGACGGCGATAAATATAGGGGGATTTCGGATTGTGTCCAATTAACATTTCTCTGTAAGCCGCGCGAACGTCGTTAGTCCATTAATAAATACGTTCGGCTCCCCTCCCTCCTCCCCTTTCGCCATAGTCCCGCTCGATAGATAAATAATGTAACACCGACGCGTCGGGTTACACGTACACACAGCTCGAAGCTGCGGAGTGTGTTACACGCGTGTTGCGAACCGTGCGCCTGTTATATACACCGTCGTGTATACACCGGGCCAGTGCGTGATTTACATATAGCAATTAACCCTTTGCGCTCGTAGCGTGCGTCGCAAGGATTTATGCGCCAGTGGGGCACATTACGAGAGACTTGCAAATCAAAGGGCAAGTGCCTCTCA